GTGACCTCCCAGGCTGCCACCTCCAGAGGGTCATTCACATACAAATTTGCAGGTTGCTTCCAACATGTGGAATTTGAGGGATACATTTAAGCCATAACATTTGACACCGCCCCCCCAAATTCATGTCCTTACATTCATTTAATCCCAGTAATCCAAAAGTCTGAACTCCAGAGTCCCAAATCCAGAGTGTGATGAAGATCAATGAGAGACTCATTCTCTACCACAGGATCCGGAAGAGATCTTTCCAAATTGTTTGGCTCTGCTTCTCTTTCGGTTATGAATCCTATCTTCAGGTCATTCCAGAGCTTGTGGTGTAGTGGTGGTAGGGTAACAGTAGCTGGGGCACGGTTTACTGCTGAGCTAACGCTTCTGCCAGAAAGTCCAACTGTGTAAGTATTTTTATATATTGAATTCTATCTGCTAATGCTGTGTTAAGAATTTCATGCCTATAACCATGAAGAATGTTGGTCAGCAGTCTTCTTTCTGTATTCTGTGTGTTTGGGTTTTGGCAGGAAGGCAATATTCATTTCATGGAAGGAACCAGAAGATACTCTTTTCTTTCCTTCAGGAGATTTTATAGAACTGGTGTTGTTTTCATTTTTTAACTTCTGGGAGAACTGGAACTCTCTGGGACTGAAGATTTCTATTTTGAGAATTTATAACTGTATAATCAATTTCCTATTTCCTGTAGGTCTATCCAATTCTTTCAGGTGAGGTTTGGTAGTCAATGAGTTGCTGTTTTTGATGTCTGCTCTCTGTTCTTTGCTTTGTGAATGTGTTCATGTCATATGAACTGCCAAGCTTATATGTGTAGAATTTTTTAATATTCCCGTATTTTCTTATCTTTCAATATATGTGAAGTCTCCTGTCTCATTCCACATGTTGGCATGCTGGTAACTTACACCTCATTTTCTTTTGTCAGTCTTGCTAAAGTCTGCCAATTTTATTACTTCATTTTGGTGCTGTAGTTGAAAATTAGTACAGCCTGTATGTTTGAATTTATTTTTAGGGTCTTTGAGTCCTGTGAGCTTTCTAATGATTTGTATTCTTCAACAAAGCAAGATCATGCAATGTTTCCCTTTCACATTGCTAGTCTATGTGTCTGTTTTCATGGTAGATTTAAACTGATTGATGGCTATTGGAGAGCTTTGTAATACAATTTTAAGTCAGGAAATGAATATAATATGTTTTTCTTTTAAAAATTGCTTTGGATATTTGGACTCTCCTGGGGTTCTATATGACTTTTTAAATGTCTCTTTTTCACTTTTAAGTATTTAGTTGGGTCAGATGAAATAGCATACACCTGTAGTTCCAACTACTCAAGAGCCTGCAGGGTGAAGATCATTTGAGCTCAAGAGTTAGAGACTACACTACACAACCCAAAGTAGGCTTCTCATTAAAAGACCAAAAGACAGACAAACAATAACACTTAGATATATTTTAAAATAAGTATCCATGTGAAATTATGGGCATGTACCTTTATGTTTCTTCAGTCACTGGCATTGAAAATGAGAACAAAAGCATATTAACTCCTTGAGTTATCACTCCTGGGCTGCTTCTACGGCAGGGTCAGCTGCCCACCAACATCTCCCACCTTCTCGGCCTCATTAATAGAATGTGGGCTTCTGTCAATGAGCAAACGTATCTACTTAAAATCATTCTTCCTGACAGATCCCCTCAGACAGCTGTCCCTGAAAGCCAGCTCCAGCTGCGATGTCTGTCCAGCAGGACAGCTGAGGGGGACGGAGGCCCTGGGCTTGTTCTCACGGTCTCCAGACCTTTCACGTCTTTCTGAGTTGGTTCTTTGACCATTTCATCCATTCTGATTACTGCAGCCCCTCGAACGCCCCTCTCTCTCTTACCCCCTCTAATGCCCCTCTCTCTGTTACTCCCTAGAATACCCCCTCTCTGTTACCCCCTCTAATGCCCCCTCTCTCTCACCCCCTCTAATGCCCCTCTCTCTTACCCCCTCTAATGCCCCTCTCTCTCTTACCCCCTCTAATGTCCCCTCTCTCTCACCCCCTCTAATGCCCCTCTCTCTGTTACCCCT